CCCCCCCCCCCGACTTGACTAATAAAATTAGTTTTTTTCCACATATTTTGATGTTTCATTAAAAAAAGGTGGGAAGAAACTTTCGACCTTGTAGAATGGTTTAATACCAAGAAAATTTAAAATTGTAAAATAAACAGTACAAAAATTTACTTGTGAATATGTTGTGAGAAGATCTGGTTACTGAAGGTTAACGAAAAGTATTGCGAAATTATACTCCTGAATCTTTCTGCCTCGCAACGCGCGTTATGCTTCCCTATTTACTCTTCGTCTGAGCTCGGTATTTATCTACTTGTGCTACTCGCACAGCCGAAACTCGTAGATTAAACGCTTTCGTCTATAACGTAACGAGTCGATGTCCCCTCGGAGAAAGAAAAAAGCCGGGGAAAAGATTTTCAAGAACCGAGGACAATAAGTTGCCGAAGCAATCTCGCGCGCATTCAAGTTTCTCTACTTCTGTGTCTTTCCGAGTCCCAAGGAGTTCCCCCCGTCCCAATCTACTTACCGCTAAAAACTACAGATTTCCACGAAGATTCCGCCAAGTTTTTTCCCGCGGAGAAGTTCAACAAGCGGGAAACAAGAGCCACCACCCACGAATCGGGATGATTTTCAATCTCGTCGTTACGTCCGTCTAACCTTTTTAATCAATTTTAAATCAAAAGTTTTCGCCAGTTTCAGAACCGAATCTCTTGTTCCCGATCTCGATGATCCTCCATCTAGATCCGACCATCTCTCGATATTTTAGCTTATCGAAAACCACATTCCTGTGATAATTCCCCCTCCCCTCCCTCGAAAGAAGCGAGAGAAAAAGATAAACGATTTCGTCGTCAGAAAAATTCGGCAAACCGAAGGCGCCAGAAGAAGATAACGCTCGATCTTCGTGAATCACGCGAAGGGGGTGCCGCGCCCTGGCGAGAGAGCGAGCGAGAGAGAGAGAGAGAGAGAGAGATTTCCCCGGAAGAAGGATCTTGGAGCCAGATTTTCGTAGCGGGAGGGGGGAGGCAGCGATGCACTATCGCTTCCGAGATTTCCTCGGAAAACGGGAGAAGATCGTCCCCGGTTGGATCTCCGAGGCTCTAATCTCGCCGTTAGTATAAACTACGGTTCTCGTCGCACCTCGAACGACGCCCTCGTTAACCGTGAGAGCGTCGTTGTTGCTCGACCCCTCTTTCGAATTTCTATTCCCCCGATTAGGAAGCCGGGAAACGAGCTCTCTTCGCACAGCACACTCTCTTGTTTCGTCGTTTAGCGGAAGAGGAAGAGGGGAGGGGGGGGGGCGGTTAAACTTGAGAAAATAATTAGAACGATCGGTGAAAGAAGGTTCGCGGATTTTGCTCTGGCCGGAAGAGGTCCACCCTTTCTGGTCGAAAAAACACGGAGGAAAGTCCGGTTTTATCGCCCGTCCGAAAGGCATCAAGCGACAAAACTTTCAAAACTTTTACTCGAAGACGCAACGTAGCTGGAGATAAAAAAAAAAGAGAGAGAGAGAGAGAGAGAACGCTCAGACTCGCGACACCTGGATCCCCCTTGGATTTACTGCCTAAGTCCGGCAGTTAGTATCCTTCCGGAGTAATCGAGTGCTCGAGAGGAGGTGGACGGGGATCGATTAGATCCAAAATAGACCGATCGAACGGAGAGCCTTTTTTCAATTAGATTGGAAAGTTTCAGGAGAGACTGGGCGAAACGGAGGGGAGGAGGGGGAGAGAAAAGGGTACGACGGTGATCGAGGCGGACGTGGAAACTCTGCGGAAGGTCTTCTGCCCCGTGGACGACGATCGTCCCTTATCGCTCCGAAGGGAACCGCTTGACCAAATCGCTCGATAAAAAGCCCATCAAGCAGTTTATTTTTTTTCCTCTACCCCCGCCACCCTCCTCTCTCTATCTCTCTCACTTTTTCTCGTCAGCCTTTGTCTCGATTTAAAACTGTCCCTATTCAGGGACCCGCGGGTCCCATTATACCGGCCAATTCCTCCTTTACTTTCGCCTGCGGTAATTTATTGAATTATTCGGCGTCGCTGGAAAGAGAGAGAGAGAGAAAAAAAAGAAAGAAAAAGGAGAGGAAGGCACCAACGAACGCGCCAGGGACTTTCTCCGATCGGTTCTGGCTCTGTTTGCGATCGCAAACGGAAAGAATAGTCTCCGTGAGATCTTAGCGACCTTTTATCAACTCGGACCTTAAGCTTCGTGGGATTTTAAGGTCGAATAATTCACGCGGAGCTTCCAAAGTCAGAGCCCGGTTCGCTTTATCAATCTTCCGAGGGCTTAATATTTAATGCGAGGTGAGATATTTCACCGCGACCTTCCGCAGCCTTCTCCGAGTTTCTCCGTTTATCGAGTCCGCGACACGGTGGTAACGTTTTGAGATATCGCGAGGGATATTCAGGGAAAAAAAAAAAAAAAAAAAAACGATCGCAAAAGCGCCGCGTACGAATGATTCCGACAATAACCACCGTTCTCGTTCCCTGCGCTTTTTTTCCCATCACGCGACCTGTCTCATTGTTCGCCAGTGTCATCCGTCTGGACGGTATTGTTTGCCACGGCAAAGTGAGTTTCCGCCAGAACGCGCCCATTAATACACCACATTCGCGTGCGTGTTCGTTCGTTCGTTCTTTCGTTCATGTTCTCGGTCCGCCGAAGAATCGTCGCGTCCCTCCGAAACTTCTATTTATATAGATCAGAGAGCCGAAGGAGGAGGCGTTCGACGAGGTCCTGGACGGTGATAAAATACACACGGGAGGAAGGAAAAGGAGGCACTTAGGCGAGGCGAGTGGCTCGATTTAGCAAAGTGATGGGAGAGACGAGGGACGTTGCGGAGAAGTTGCAGCTCGGTTGTTTTACGCGATAACGTTACGTTTCCGTTCTCATCGGCGTATTAGTTGAAAAATCGAGCGTAGCAAGGGAGTAAGCAGCTGTCGTGAGCGGAGGTGAGAGAAAGGGAGAGAAAACGAACGAACAGAGGAGAAGGCGAGGCAAGGTGAAGTGCAGAGAGGGCACTCCCCCTCCGAGCCGATAAAGTTCCTCGAGATAACTTCTCCGAGGGCTAAATGGGCTCGCCTCGTACGAGCCGAGCTTCCCCGCTGGCAACTTTTTCGAAAAGCAACAAGAAGAAGACCAGAAACCCACGGAGTGACGGGGAGAGAGAGAGAGAAAGAGCAGAGGCTCTCGGTTAACGTTCGCGAAAAAGCCAAATGCCCCGTTAATCGAATCTGTCGGAAGCTTTTAAAGCACTCTGGAACGGCGTAATTTCTTCGTAATCAGCGGCTACTCCGACTTTGGTCCTTTTTTTTTTTTACTCGCGAAACGTCGTCCGTTACACGTGCCACGCCGATCATAATTGCGTTTATCGATCGGACGTCCGATCAAACCTCAGTCTTCTTCCTCAGTCTGAGAGATTAAAAAGCGATAAATTACACGCGTGGATAACGGACGTGAGGGATATTTGGCTTAGAAATCATCTCGGGAGGGATCCGTTTAGCGCCGTATCCGAGTTAGAGACCACATCCGTCAGGGTGAGAAAACAGCGCTGGTTTACCAAGCCGGGAGGCTATTAGATCTCGAAGGAAAGAATCTGCCCCGATGGATCGATTGATCGATCGGTCGGTCGGTCCGGACAATCGTCCGGCAAACGAACATTCTCCCCTCGTTCCTCTTCCCGCTCCAACAAATTTTTCCATCCAAGGATTCTTTTCCTTGCCACGTACGTACCTTATGTACGAGTAGATCAACAACTCTATTCTCTTTCCTGCTTTCTCGACTCGCGAAACGATACATAAATATTTGCGCGGCGTGGAATCGAGCCGCGACCCAAATCGAGAGTAGCCCGGCGGCGCGGTGATTCGTATTCTCGTATTTGGTCGTTTATTCCAATCCATGTTTCGAGAAGCCACCAGGACTTTTTCTTTCCCTTCGTCTTCCTCTGCCAACGAGGAAGGGAAAATATACAGCCGGTTGTTGAAACAATCAAAATTTCAACGAGCATCTCGCTGTTTATCGAGCCCCGGCGCGAAATGAAATTTTCACCGCATCGCCGGAATCACCGGCGAGAATGAATCGCTCTTGACTCGCTCTTTCTTTCCCAACCTTCACGCAAAAGATTCTTTTCCTCCCTCCCTCTCTCTCTCTCTTTCTCTGTTTTTCTCGCGATGAAAGAAAAATCGTCGTTGCGTGCGTAGATATAGCTCGCGCGGTTACCGGCCTGCCTCGAGAGCGTTAATAATAATGGGGAAAGTTCCGCGGCGCGGAGAGAGAATGTACATCCCCGTATAGCCCCCTCTCTTCGCGCTTGACTCGCTCGACCCCCCCATGACAAATTACACTCCGGGGTTTTATTGTTGTTCTTCTCGCTCTCCTTGCCGCTCCGTGGCTGGCTCCTCTCTTCCAGACGCTCCTCTTCTTCCCACCCTGTTCTCCCTTTCCGTTTTCTTCGGCTACTTTCCGCAGATCTCTCGCCGCGCGTGGTAACGCGCGTCCCGCAACTTTTTCCGCCGCTGTTGCTAATTAATATATTCCGCGCCGCTTACCACCGGTTGCTCCCGGCTGCGCCGCGCCATCACCCTTAAAAGTGATCGTACTTTTCATTTACTTTTCTCTTCGTTTTTGTTTCACTCTCAGAAATATATATATATGTGTGTGTGTGTGTGTGTGTGTGTGTATTTCTGTCGCTCCAATCCACGTCGTTTCGAGATAAGACGACGGATTGATTCGCGACGCGAATCGGCGATCGATGACGGAGCGAAGGAGGATGAGAACGGAGACAGAGAGAGAGAGAGAGGAGAGCAGGTTGAAACTCGATGAAAGAGGCTCGACTGAGAGGCTCAACGGCGGCAGAGAGTCAAGGAGCACAGAGTCACATAATCGGAAGGAAGCCCGACCTTCCACGGGCGCGCAAAGAAAGCTCGATAATCCTGTTAAGGTGACTTAGCTCGGCTCGCAGCTAGTCTTCGCAGGGTCTCCTCGCGAGGCGTCCCTGGCTGCACAGCCGCTCGTTCGAGGTGTCGAGTTATTCAGCGCGAGATAACGAGAACGAATCGAACGAGCAGCCGGTGGAAGTCGAGGCACGAAACGAGATGAGACGAGAGCAACTCAAGGCGAGCCGAGAGAAATTCAAATAGAATCAAAGCTACAGTCTGC